TTACTATTTAATTAGTTCAATCAGTGATGCAGCTATATCAATAGTGGTTAAGTAGGAGATTGCTTTTGTTTAGGGAACTGTTAGCTAGTGTATAGTATAGGTACATGGATGAGGAAACTACCAAACGAGTATTAAAGCCTGACTGTGGCTAGTTCTTGGCCAGTGAATGCAAGACCTGTTACACACCTGGGGAGGTATGCCGCTAATGAGCGCCCAGTTACACCTATGTGGACTTTTTTTTTTTTGTTGCAATTGGGCATACGGCATTTGATTATGACATTACACATAGATGTGAGATTTTGAATGTTCAAAGAACACTTCTTTTTTTTTACCAATATCAGAAAAAGATTATATCAGTGATTTATGACAATTTTTTTTTTTTTTTTTTTTTTGAAATATATCTAAAATGAAATGTAAGTTTTGTGTCCTTTTACACACAAAATATGCTTCCATCGAGACTCCCTGGTAATATGCTGTAGCTTACGAAGTGATCTGTACGTATACCGAGTACGAAGCTTTTTATCTGGTATAGACTAGTTGTCTCTATGGTTCAATGCATTTATAAAACTTTTCAGACAAAAATATCTACTTTTATATCCAACAAACAAACAAAAAATTACATACCTTTATAGGAAAGTGTCCCTACTGAAAATGATAATTCCGATTGACTTGGTAATCATCACATCACAAAGTACACTAAATAAGTTTTTTTTATATATATATAACATCATTAGATTTAGAGAAAAATAACAGAGATGATGAACTTTGGCAAGTGACCAAAATATAAAATGCTGTTTCTCCGTTTTTTGTTTACATTACCTTCAGTACATCCCCAACTCTCAAAATTTTTGTGCGATTCAAATGCAGTTTGTTGCTTTCGCTAGAGCCTCAGAGCCCTTACTTAGGCTGTGTAAATGGCTGATTTTTAAGTTTTGACCTTAATCAAAAAATATTAATTTTTTAAAGTAGAAAAAAAAACACCAAAAATAATACTCTAAGTCAACCAGTCCCCAGCCCCTCAAAAAAGGAAATTAAAAAATCAGCTATTTACACGACCTTAGGCTAGGGTAGATCTAACACAAGTATTTTTGGGGGATTAGTCAGAAAAAAACTGTGGGAGTTGGGATGAAATGAAGATTTTTTTTTTTTTTTTTTAGATTTTTGGGGAGGCGCTTTCTATGGGGGAGCGAGGTTAAAATCATATGTGAGACAAAGTATAATTATATACTCTATATCATGCAAAAAGAATCAATGAGTTATCTCCAACCAATTTTTTAAAATGATGAAATGAGTAGGAAAAGGTTGTCATTCCCTGGGAAATCCCCTTAAGGGGGCCGTCGCAACGAAAGTTAATAAAGATACTAGAAAATTTGAAAAAAATCTCCTGTAATCTAGTAGGCTTTGGCAATCTCGTGACATAATATTTTTGCTAAATACGTAAAAGTGAAGGAGTTATAACTAAATCTCTGACCCCCCCTGCCCACCCCACCTTCCGCTCTCATGTTTACTTTGTCACATCCGTGAAATATACTCAACTTTTTTTTTTTTTTTCTTGGGGGGGGGGGGGATTTTTTTTTTCGATTCATTTTGGCATTCTCTGGTAGCTAGCTGGCAACTCTGTTTACCCATCAGCTGATCGTCAAGACTGGGACTCTGGGAGACAAAACTCCACCAGAAAATCAGAGAGAAATGTTGCCACCTCCTACCTCCACGACATCATATTGCAGACGTACGCCCTCATCACACAGTAAGGGGACACTACTAATTGTAGATGTTATTTTAGTATTTTAAAAACGTAATATGATAAATACTTCTTAATCACAGCTGCAGCAGCTGTTTATACATTTGAATACCTCTCGTGGTCAGGTTAGACACTTTAAAGCCTGTGGTGACATGCGGTACTTCTACAATCATGTGCAGTTATTGCCATTAGTACTTTGCAAAAGGGGGGGACCATGTACCAGCTACGCTTCAGAATACCATGTGAATGCCATAGAATGCAGCAAGATTGACGCAAAGATAAGAATTCTAAAAGAAAAAGAGGGAAAAGTATCCTAAACTTTGGAGCCCTATATCTTAAAACTACACTTTTGCAACATTTTTTAAAGGCTCCAAAACTACTTGGGTGATTCTAAAGGGATGTTTCTTTAGGAAGCTGAATAAATTTGTTGTATTTTTTTCAACAAGTATGTTCAATGGATAAGTAGGATTTTAAAGATTTTGTGATTGTTCAAAAACTTGTTATTCTTAATAACTTCATAATTTATTATCCAAATGATATGAAACGTGGTGGTGTTTATCACTTTATATGTATGTACAACATATTTAGAAATCACAAAAATCTGATGATAACTAATGAACTTCATTCTAGAGAGCGACAGCCCCTTTAAGTATACTTGTTATTTTTTGTCTAGGTGAAAATATACTTACGATATTGGTGAGGATTGGCTGTGCAACATGTCTGAGTAACGTTGTTGTATCTTAAGTAATTGTCATGACAAATGTAGCATTTATATGACAATTATCATCATCAACCTATCAGAGGCATTCTTTGCCTCAACAAACAAAAAAGTACTGCTTGTTAGGGGATGCATACTTTTAAATGCAATGACAAATACTGAGTGGTCAGCTAACATATTTTACCTTTATAGGTATTTAAATAATTTTTTATTGAGGAATGATTTACACTCTTAATTTATATAGGGAAATAGTGCTACAGGTGTATCACATCACTGAGAAAATCTGAAAAAAAGATAATTATCTATATTTTGAAAAGAAAAAAAAAGAGGAAGAAAAAAAAAAAAAAACAGAAAATACATGTTTTGCCTAAAACCAGTGGTGATATGATCTAAAAGATTATGTTCAGGCTATGTTGTGTATTTAGCAATCAAATATTATATATATGTGAGTTCAGTGTTATATGTAGTAATATGAATGGAAAACCACTCTACCATGTTGATACTATTGTAGAAAAACCCACAATGCACAAAGTAGATTTATTGAAGAAAGTGAGACAACAGTTTAGGAATCGTCCTTGATTCCATCTTCGGGTCTAGTTTGTGCATTGTGGGTTTTTCTACCATGTAGTAATATGTAATACATTATACTGATTGCCCTAGAATTAGAGTTTCCTATTACAGAAATTTAACCATTCCAATATTAGTTGCTCAAAAAGAGGATTGTAGGGTTTACAGTAGACCTAGATTCTGGACAGACATCTCAAAAGTAGAAAACAGAAGTGAGGCAGTTTCATTAGAAGTCTTTTTGAGCCAATGACCCTCCAGACCAGTATTCCAGCTTAAGCTAGTAAGCCACCCATGACTGATCTCTTGCAGGATGTGGGCAGGTTCAGACGATGTGAAAAGCCACTTTACTGCCATAAGGCTTTTGAGGGCATTGCCATATTGAAAAGGTTAACTGGAGCCTTAATTAGTTTGATTGCAGAATGTTGCCCTTGTGATGTGTGTATATAAAGTTTTCACTTAAAAATATGAGGTATTAAGCACTCTGTAATCTGAAGTATATTCAGATCATCTTGAATTGTTATTATCAGCCCTCTATGAGCATGAATTTGTTTTCTTTTTTATAAACAAATATTATTATCTCTGACAATAATTTCCTGAATTGCAGAATTGGATTTACAATGATTAACGAAACTGATTTTAATTGATTTATCCATTGATGCTAGGAACACTGTCCACCTTGGCTTATTTTTTTAAATTTTTTTGCACAGAGATGGTTTTACAATCCCACCTGATCTTATCTGTTTACCTCTTTCCAGGAAGTTTTAAATATTATTATTATTATTATTATTATTATTATTATTATTATTATTATTATTATTATCATTATCATCAACTGGATTACCATTGCTATTGCTAATATTAGAAAACATTAACCCAATTGCCCCAGGTAAAAAAGTTTGGCAAATGGACAAGATCATGGGATTATTGGCGCACATCGGCAGTTTCCCGTTTGTGTCCTGCTTATTTGGTAATTTGTGTGCAACATTCGGCACCTAAAAGCCTTCAGTTTAGTACTTTGGGTACTATTGCCTAAAAGTTTTACCATATAAATGAAGCCACTAATATTGGAGAAAAAGAAGCTCCTTCCAATGAGCCAACATTGCCACTCGGTACTCTGTCCACAACAGCCATGGCATGTATGTACATGCCACCTGGTGGCAAGGGTTTAATAGTAATAAGATCTAAAGAAGGGAGGCAATAACTGAGGACAGGCCTGGTATTGGACTTTGTGGTGACTAAGCACTTTTAAAGGTGTGCATGTATGTAAGTAATTATTAAACAAAGCCATATTGGCAAGAATATATATACATGCACTTCTGCTTCAATGAGGTCTCACAGACTTAAAGTTTAGTTACTCAGATTCAAAGAGTTTTCCAACATTGCTTATGTTTTTGTTGCAACTTTAGTTAAATTTTGACCAACTCACTACAGTATGTTAGAGAAAATTGTTCTGTTGTGTTATGAAATATTGCCATTACAATCTTTCTCAAAATACAATAAAAAATGAGAAATGTAAATTTAAAGGGAAGCTAAGTGTTACTTCGCCAGACTAAGTTTAAGCCATTGCCAATGCATCAACAGTCATGGTGATTTGATTACCATTGGGTCATTATTTACAAAGTTGAGAGAATATTACTGTGGTATTTAGATTGTAGTTCTTCCATTTCAGATCTCGGTTCATTTGATGACAACCATTATAAAGATAAAAAAGAATTAATTCCATTAGCAACTCAACTTTTTTCTGTGCTTGATTTTTTAGTAAGATTTGTATTATAAAATGTTACAACCTCAAACTAATTGTATTTTAAGAGCTTTGTCTTCTTCTTACAATATAATTATAGAAGGTATTTTTAGTCCTTGGAAGATAGGAAGATATACTGTTCTACAAGAAGCACAGTAAATACTTTGAAATAAAATATGAATACACAGGCAGTTTCAAATTTTATTTGAATTTCTTTATATTTCACATATGGACACACACATGGACACACCGATGCCAACACACACATGCTGAATTATATTGATTAATGTAGTTTTGATATACATTTCACAGTATTTTGTATGCTTTAACATGTATATTATATTTATGGGCAGAAGCATATTGTATTTATTCTTTTTTGTCATTAATTTCAGGAAAGCTTCTGTGATATATGGATAATCTGCATCCTGAACCTCCTCTGTGATATCACTACAAAATCCTCTATGCTGGGCAACGAATCTGTTTTGATGGAAAATGGGTATGATGCCTTCAAAAACAGGTCATCTCAGAACAGGAGAAGAGAAGATAGATCCACGGATATTCACTAAATTCAAATTATAGGTAAAAATATTCATGATATATTTTCATAAAACAAGAAAATTCAGAGAATAGTGCTTCTTATTATATGAGGGTCAGTAAAGAGTGAATGTTTATTATGAATGAAAGGCCTGTAGTGTATCTATTTTAGAATTATATACAAACTTGGGTTTGTCATATGGTGTTCACAAGCTCACCTTAACATTCCACTTTTTCATAATGTCATTATGTATGCAGTCATAGAATTATATAACAAGAAAACCTCATTGTATTATAATCTTACTAGAGTAATGTTGATTTTCTTTTGAGCTTCAGAATGGAATATTAATCTTATTTCTAGCAGAGGCTGATTATGATATGATTATGTACAGTATCACTTGTTTTTTTCTTTTTCCTGTTTGTTTCTTGTGTTTTTGTTGTTGTTTCTTGATTGATATTGATATTAACATTTATTTCAGGGCTTAGTCATGAAGAATTTATTACAATCAATGGACTTGAATGCAAAACCATAGATTCATCACATGCAGTTAATAATATTATCATGTTTATGATAGAAAGTTCAATACATTACCTCCAAAGTATAAACAGTTTTCAAGTTCCTTTTAGATAATCAAATATGGATCTTCTCGTAAGGTTTGGTAGTAAAATGGGATTTATAGAATCCAAATTGTTGACAGAAGAAACTGAATCATTTTGTTGCCGGGATTTTTAAAAGAGATTGGAAGTAATCTGTTTTAAAAGAAAATATTAATTTGTGATATACAGCTCATAAATAAAGTCCCAAGAGTATATTTTATGCAGATTTATAGAATATGTTTATAAGAAATAGTTAGAGTATGTGTAATGGAATGTATATTTAACAAGTTGATAAAATTAAGCATTTATGGTAATCCATAAGTGCAGTGTAAATGGTTTTATGCTCAAAGAAGTTGAAATGAAATTGCTTTGTCAGAGAGAGTGCAAAGAGTATTACTGTTCTTCTAAAATCATTAAGTTCCTCCCAAAAGTTATATGTGTGATTCACTGGATAATGAAAAGAATATTTATCAATCTTATTGATAGTCCAAGGATAACATGAGATTGGAATTAGACTATTTTTATGCATGCATTACATTTGAGCTTTCAGTTTCATGTTTCAGCCAGTTTTTGCTCAATAAGTCAGTCTTAAAGAATGTCTGGTTAATGTAAGGGCATTGTTATAGACTCCCAATTCTGTTAATATATGATTTATAGTTTGCCAAAATAGTATACTTATTCAAGAGAAAAATTACAGAAAGATTCATGCACAAAATAATACTTGTTAAATATTTGAACATCACATGTGACATTAATATGTATCATATTATTTTTTGTGATATTGTTTTTTTTTTTTTTTTTTTTTATCAGAAAACAAAACAACAAATAAATTAAAAACATTAACAAATTATATTTACCAGATGTTAGGAAATATCCCATTTCTCCCCTATAGTACAAATAGTATGAAAGTTCCTCTGGATGAAATATTAAATTTGCAAAGAGTGGATGAATCAAACACACACATGACCACTGACACATAAACCAACCTGTACAAACACTAATAAATTCCTGCAAACATACACATACACCTGACCAGCACATGCACATACACACAACCACATATACATTTACACTTGCATAGACAATTGATTTTGTGAGTAATTATGAATTATTTACTCTTTAAGAATTTAATTATATAAAATATTTGTGCACTTGTGTGCAGTGTATTTTTTATTGATTGTCGGTATCTTATTGCAAACCACTTTAAGATTAACAAATATGTGTTTGTGATATATATATTGTATGCACTATAAATTTGATTTTCTTCCTGTTGCGTATTTATGTAAATGTATTATACTTTCATGTTGGTATATCTGTATTTGTTAAGCATTTTTGTATATAGCACTCAAGGGGTGGATTCCATGAAGAAACAACAGTGAAAGTTGTACTCATCATAACTTACAACTTTTAACTACTCCAAAATTAAACTGGTATCCATGAAGCTGAGTTAACAAGGGTGTGGGAGAAAGTTGATGGAATGTCACCCAGGGTGTAAAGCAACAGCAGCCAAAAATTTGTTGATCATAGGCCTTGCGGCCACTGCCAGCTAACGGAGGTCTTGCATTATTAATACCGAAATTAATAAAATTTTGGAAATGGCAA